AGCGCTTCAAATGGTAGCCAAGAGTAATTAATTCAGCTTTTCAGCTTTTATGGCAAGTCTATACTATGTGCTTAAATATTTACTGAGACCCATTTTCATTGATGTTTCTGCCTGAACCAGTGTGGAAAATTGTTTAAGCATTAGGATAAATCAGCTAAAGCTATTTTTAACATCATTGAATGTGGCTACTCAAGTGAAAATACTTAACAAATTTTGGGTCTGAAAGGCTGGATAGAAAATATTGTACGATTTTGTACAAAGTACTTCATTATTCATAGAATAAATCTTTTCAATAGAATGCCAGTGTACTCCACTTTTCCAAGAGGCATTTTTAAAAATCACAGTTTTTTAAAAATACCATCATGCCTGGAAATTGTTGCATTCAGAATCAGAATAAATGTTTAACAATGGCATTTTTAAAATTCTCTTAAAATTCTCTGCAGCTAACCGTTGTCAAAAGTAACTTTCCTATATCTGCTATGTGTCTGCTTGTGTGTGTTCCATTTCCGTAATGGATTTGGAAACAAGTGAATATTGTGTTTTCAGGGAACTAAGTGATGTTGATTGTGATGGAGCACTGACACTAGCAGAGTTCTGTGCTGCCTTTCACCTCATTGTTGCTAGGAAGAATGGTTACCCATTACCAGACAAGTTGCCAGAGACACTGCTGCCAGATTATCTTCAAACAGGTGAGCCTGTTGTAGTTCTGTAACTGTCTCAAGAGCTCTGCTTTCATTAGTATATAAATAAATATAACATATGAATAAAATTGTCGTACAACACTTCTAAAAGATGGCCAGGCTGGGGCTCTGGTGGCCCTCAGAGGGGAGGGGGAAGTTCCAGACCTGAAGAACAGCAACCATAAATGACCTCCTGCATGTTTTGGCCAAGCACTCTTTGTGCACAGATGGTACTTCAGGTGAATCTTTAATGTTGCACGTGAGATTTTAGTTGGAATGTTCTGTAATTCTCTTTTCGAGAGTCACCATTTCCACTTTAAATTAATTATGATAACAGCAGTGAGATTGCAGAGATTGTATCAGTTTTTGTGGGACGGGGATAAATGAGTCCAAAACATGTGATGTTCCTTATTAATGAGGTGCAATTGGGAGACTTGTTCCCTTATTCATTCTTTTCAATGATGTATCTCGTAATTTATACATGAACCCTGAATTACATACCATTCAATTTTTTAAAAATGTGCACAGCTTTCTAGGGTGAGGAAGATTAATCATAGATAATGATTACAATTCTAAGTGCTAGTATTTAAGACTTAATAAAATCTCCATTCAGCCTGCTGACACTAACCATTAAAAGAGAGAAAAAGAGGAAATCAAGTTATAGTTAGGACATTTCAGTGTCCATTGCAGTTGTTTCTGTAAAAGATTATATTTTTTTTACAATTCAAGTCCAAGTATAGGGGCATATTGTGAACTAGCCACCTTCCAATTGTACATCCTATTAGCCTCTGTAATATTATGTCCTTATGAGCAGGAATCCTGGTTTTCTCTGATTTAAAAATATCAGCAATTTTCAGGTTAAAAAAAGTAACCCCAAATCCACATTTTTTCCATGATCAAAATAAAACACCACTGTGTGTATTAGTGGTGTTTCATTTTAATGGGAGTGTAGTAAGCAGGTTCACCTGAGAATTTTCTCTCTTCAGATTTTTCTGTTTGTTCCTTTTTTTTGTTCTGAGCCCCCTGTTTGAGTTCTAGTTTTCTTTCATTTTGTTAAATGGCTGCCTGTTTTATTTCCTTTATGCAACAGTCTTTTGAAGCTAATATGTATAAATGAACCACAAGGGCTAACCATTTGTTCTTGCAGTGATACTTATGACCTTAAAGTACAGTAGTTGAGGTTCCTAAAATTTCTCTAATGCTTTGTGCACTTTATAGTCACAATAACCCTGTACTTTTGGAACAGAGATCTCTGCATTAAAAACAATTGTGAATTATAGTACAGGTTTCTGGACCAGCAACATCGGAATAAAAATAAATTAAAAATCAGTATGGTGGGTCATGGGCAGATCTAAGATCGTGTGACCAGTGCTGCAGGTGTGGCTGAACTTCCAGCTCCACCCACCTCTCACTGGGCATAGTCAGGCTATGCCACAAGAGTGGCAGCAGGGACTTTGTCCCCAAAAAAGTAAGAATCCCATCCTCGCCCTTGCTCTCGGCACCTATTCTCTTCCCCTCCATCCTCAGCAGCACTCCCATTCTCCCTGTCCACTGACCTCTGTTGCTGCTGTCCCCACCGGATCCAGGAGTGGAAGACAAGCTCAAAGCCACTCCTCTCCCGCTCCAGCTGAAAACAGCAGTGGTAGTGGGTGGGTTCCTCTTTGCTGCCCATTCCCTCCCGGCTGTGGTTTAGAAAGGTTGTGGGGCTCTAGAGCTGCTCTGGCTTGTAGTGGGACAGCAGTGGTGGTGGCAGGTAGGTTCGCCCCTCTGCACTTGCTTCCAGGATGGTAGGCAACATCTGGAGAGACA